AGGAAATAACAGAGAGACAAGAGTGAAACAAGAACGAGAGAAATACAGAGAGAGACAGAGAAAGAGAGAGACGAGAGGGAGACAGCACAAGAAAAAAAGATCGAGAGAGAGATCGCGCGCGCACGAGAGAGATAGCAAGAGAAGGAAGAGAAAGGGGTTAGCGAGAGAAGGAGAGTGAGAGAGAGAGAGAGAGAGTAGGGAGAGAAGGGGAGAGTGAGAAAGAGAGAACAGGGAGAGAGAGGGAGAGTGAGCGAATAGATTGAGCGGAGAGAGAGGAGAGAGAGAGACGGAGAGAGAGAGAGAGCGCGCGAAGAGAGTGAGCGGAGAGAGACGGGGAGAGGGAAATGGAGAGATAGAGGGAGAGAGATAAAGGGAGAGAGAGAGGGAGAGAGGGGGGAGAGGGAGATAGAGAGAGAGGGAGAGAGAGTTGGAGAAGGAGAGAGAGAGAGTGAAGAGCGTGAGCGGAGAAAGAGGGGGAGAGGGGAAGGAGAGAGGGAGCGGAGAGAGAGGGGAAGAGGGGGAGGGAGAGAGAGAGGAGGGGGGAGAGGGAGAGGGTGAGAGAGAGATCACACCTCAACGTGTCGCGCAAAGAGAGTGCATTGTGAGCAAGCGTAAAAGCGAACGAAAAAAAATCCCCACGCAATAACCGCGTGTTTTTTCTTCGCAAGAGCTTTCATTTCTTTTATTTGAAAAACGGACGTACATTAGGGAATAAAAATGTTGTCGCCTTCGTCTGTCTGCGTGGCGAAGCAGGAACAACGGATAGTGTTTGTTTGATTACACACTAATGACTAATGTCATATACTATTATGCTATGCTGGGCTGATGCGAATGCATTATCTGTATGATTTCATCGTCGGCGTGAAACCATTAACGATTTCTATGCTGCTATATAAACACTTATTCTAAAAGCTAGCTGCTATTACTGTTTCATCGCTTCATAACTCGACACGCTATGCCAATTCAGTGAGCAAGTTGTGTACGTCATCACAACACGCGTTCCATGCTATGTTCGTGAGTATACCGTGACGTACGTGACGTACCGTGACGCGGTCGTGTAAGCTTCTCTAACGTTCCATGCTATACGTTAATCGATGTTTTGATGCTTTATTTACTGTGTAGCACCGTTCTATGCTACTTTACTCGTTCCTCCTATATGGCCCAATTGCGTCCGTTCCAAACAACATTGGTGAAAGCTCTATATGGTGCTTTAATGAGTGTTCTATGTCTTTATAACACGTGTTGCGTGGCACCGTAACGACCTGACCGTGCTATCATAACGACTGTTCTATGGCACCATTATGGTTCGCCTCTGCTTCCCTATACAATCTCTCTCTCTCTTTCTCTCTCTCTCTCTCTCTCTCTGTCTCTCTCTTTCTATCTCCTCTCTCTATCTCTCTCCTCTCTCTCTCTCTCTCTTCTCTCTCTCTTATCTCTCTCTCTCTTCTCTCTCGTCTTTCTCCTTTTTCTTTTATTCTCGCGCTCTCTCTCTCTCTCTCTCTTCCCTTTGTCTCCCCCTCTCCCCCTTTTCATTTCCCTCTTCCTCTCACCATCTCTCTCTCTCTTTCGATCATTCTCTAACCCACTCTTTCTCTTTCGCTTTTTCTTTTACTCTCTCTGTGTCTCTCTCTCTCTTTCCCTCTCTCGAATTCTCTCGTTCTCTGTATTTCTCCCCCTCTCTCACTCTCCGCCTCTTTCTTTATGACGACTTGCTGTTGCTCTCGTGGTAGGGCTGTCATCCCCGGAGTTCTATCGGCGCCCTGCAGCCACCGGCGAATGTTCCCGGTTCACGTCTATTGATCGATCGATCGATAGATCAGAGCAGAGACGTGTAATGAATGACTCTCAGAAAATAATAGCAGACGTTTAATATTACATTGATATCGTGTTTATCATAGCGAATACACACACGCACACGCATACGCACGCACGCGCACGCACGCACGCACGCACGCACACACACACACACACACACACACACACAC